AAGATGCAGGCAGGGCTGATGGCTGCTTTGGACACATCGCTCTACCATTCATTCCACAAACATTTGCTGAGCCCCTGCTAAGCATACCAGGCACTATTCCAGGCATTGGGGACACAGCTGGAAACAAGACATGAAGAGCCCTGCCTCCTGGTTTACATTCCAGTGGGGGAGACAGTCAATAAACCAGAGACATAGTACGGTGAGTTATATGATGCTACAAGGTGAAAAGGGATACGGAAAGAAATTGACAAGTTTAGGGGGTAGAGAGTGCAGGGTGAGGGTCAGATTTTAAAGAAGTTCATCAAGAAAGAAACAATTGAGCAAAGACTTGAAGGAGGTGTTAGACTGAGCCGAGCAACTCTGAAGGAAGGACGTTCCCCAGACCAAAGGAACAGCCAGTGCAAATGTCCTGAGACAGAAGTGTGCCTGGCGGGTGGCGGAGCCTCAGGAGCTCACTGTAGCTGGGGTGGACGGGGTTAGCAAGAAAGAGCAGAAGGAAGTGAGGTGGAGGGGATCCTATTTGTTCTTATTTCTTTGTTTCTTGGTTTTTTTTGTTTTTTTTTTTACTTACAGTATTTCTTTTTTATTTACATACATTCATTTCTTGTTATTGCTAAGTAGTATTTCTGCAAATGTAACACAGTTTGTTTATGCATTCACCAGTTGGAGGACACTTGGGGTTTGAGGTTATTATAAAGCCACTCTAAACATTCGTGTACAGATTTTTGTGCGAAGTTGTCATTTCACTTGAGTAAATGTCTAGGAGTAGAATAGCTGATTTGGATGGCAAATGTAGGTTTCACTTTCTAAGAAAGTACCAAACTACTTTCCACACTGGCCGTACCATTTTGCATTTTCACTGGTGATGATGGAGACTCCAGTTACTCTGCATCCTCACCAGCACTTGGTATTTTCTGATTTTTCTTATTTTATCCATTCTAGTAGATGTGTATTGATATCCCACTGTGGTTTTAATTGGTTTCCCTCATGGGGAATGATGTTGAGCCATTCTTACGGGCTTATTTGCCATCTGCTTTTTTCCTTTAGTGGAATGTTTATTTGAATTTTTTGCCTGTATTTTCTTAGGTTGTTTGTGTTTTGTTTTGTTTTGTTTTGTGAGTTATTTGTACATATCAGATATAGTCTTTTATCAGATATGTGATTTGCAAATACTTCCTCCAAGTCCGAAGCTTATCATTTCATTTTTTTATAGCTGCCTTTTGAAAAGCAGACGTTCTTAATTTTGATGAATTTATTTACCAATTTCTTATTTTATGGATAGTGCTTTTGATGTCATATACAACATATCTTTGTCCAACTCAAGGTCACAAAGTTTTCCTCCTATATTTTCTTCTAGAAGTTTTAGAATTGTAGGTTTTACTTTAAGGTCTATGATCCATTTTGAGTTAATTTAGGTATGTAGTGAAGTATAAATTGGGATTTTTTTTTTTACATGTGTATATCCAATTATTACAACACCATTTGTTGAATAGACTATCCTTTCTTAATTGAATTGGTTTTGTGCCTTTATCAAAATACATGTGGGTCTTTTTCTAGACTCTATGCTTTGTTCTATTTATTTATATTTCTGTGCTTTCATCAGTACCACACTGTCTTGATTACTATAGCTTTATAATAAATCTTCAAATCAGTAGTGTGGGTCCTCCAATTTTGTTCTTCCTCAAAATTGTTTTGGCTATCTTCATTCCTTTACTTTTCCATATACATTTTCGAAACAACTTGTTGGTTACTACAAAAAAATTCTTCTGGGATTTTGATTGGAATTGCATTGAATATTTAGATAAATTTAGAGAAAACAGACATCTTAACAATATTGAATCTTCCAATCTGTGAACATGGTATGCCTCTTCACTTATGAAAGTCTTAACTTCTTTCATCAATATTTTATATTTTACAGTATATAGATCTTGCAATTATTTGATAGATTTATCCCTAAATATCTCATGACTTTTAGTGCTATTGTATATAGTACCTTTTTTATTTTAATTCCCAATTGTTCATTGCTAGGTATATAGAAACATGACTGATTTTTGTATGCTGACTTTATATTTGCAAATTGCTGAATTCACTTTTTAGTTCCAGTAGGGTTTTTTTTAGATTCTTTGGAGTTTTCTATTTAGATAATACCGTCCTCTACAAATATGGATACTTCCTTTCCAGTCTGCATGCCTTTAATTTCTTTTCTTACCATTTTCTATTGACTAAGCCCTCAGTACAATGTCAAATAGGAATAGTGAGGGCAGACATCCTCACCTCATGCCCAATTATATGGGGAAAACAGTATCTTTCACTATTAAGTATGATATTAGCTGTAAGATTTTTGTAAGTACTCTATCAGATTGAGGATGTTCTCTTACTTCCTGCTTTTATTGTGAATGGATGTTGAATTTTGTCAAATACTTTCTCTGCATCTATTGAGATGGTTTTATGATTTTCTTCTTTAGTCTGCCAATACAGTGAATTACATTGATTGATTTTCTTTTTTTTGGCCATGCCACGTGGCATGTGGGGTCTTAGTTCCATGATCATGGGTTGAACCTGTGCCCCCTGCAGTGGAAGCATGGAGTCTTAACCACTCCACACCAGAGAAGTCCCCACATTGATTGATTTTCAAATGTTCAACCAGCCTTGTATTCCTCAGATAAATAACGCTAGAAGTTTATCAAATGTTTTCATCATGGGCTTCCCTGGTGGCACAGTGGTTGAGAGTCCGCCTACCGATGCAGGGGACACGGGTTCATGCCCCGGTCTGGGAAGATCCCACATGCCACGGAGCGGCTGGGCCCGTGAGCCATGGCCGCTGAGCCTGCACGTCTGGAGCCTGTGCTCCACAACGGGAGAGGCCACAACAGTGAGAGGCCCGCGTACCAGAAAGAAAAAAAAAATGTTTTCATCATTTCAAAGAACCAGCTTTTGGTTTCATTGATTTTCTCTATTGTTTTTCTGTTTTCGATTTCATTTCTGTTCTACTTTTTATTTTCTTGTGTTAGCTTTAATATGCCCTTCTATTCCTAGTTTTTAAGATGGAAGCTTAGGTCATTGATTCCAAACCTTTATTCCTTTGTAGTACTATAAATTTTAATGTTATAAATTTCCCTCTAAGCACTGCTTTAGCTGCACCCCATGCATTTTGATATGTTGTGTTTTTATTTTCCTTCAGTTCAAAATCCTTTTTACTTTCTCTTTTGATTTCTTCTTGGCCTGTGCCTTGTTTTAAAATATGTTATTTAGTTTCCAAATGCTTGGGGATTTCCCATCTCTCTTTCTATTATTGGTTTCTATTTTACCAACTTGCAATTTGTTTTCTCTTTGTCCCATCTCTTCTTTTTTCTATTTTTCTTTTCTATTTTAAAATGTTGCTCCACTGTCACTTTGCACTGTTTCTGACAAGAACTAATTCTTAATCTTATGGCTCTCATTCTTATCTTTATACCTTTGTATAAAATGTGTCTTTTTTCCCTCTGGCTGTTTTTAAGATTTCCTCTTTATTTCAATGTAACTTAGTTTTCTTCATGTTTCTTTTCCTTGTGGTTCACTGAGTTTCCTGGATCTGTGGGTTTATGGTTTTCATTAACTTGAAAACTTCAGATATTATTTCTTCAAATATTTCTCTGTCCTCTTTTCTTCTCCTGTGAGGACTCAAATAGGCCCTTTGTAGTTGTCCCACAGCTCACTGATGCTGTGTTCCTTTTTTTTTTTTTTTCAATCTTTTTTCTATTAGTGTTACATTTTTGGATAGTTTCTGTTGTGTCTTCAGGTTCACTAATTTTTGCATCTATGGTGTCTAATCTGCTGTTAAACTCATTCTGTGTATTCTTAATCTTAAGCATATTGTGTTTTTCATCTTTTTAATATTTTCCACATCTTTCCTTAGTGTGCTTATGTTTTAACCTACCATGTTGAAAATATGGAATATAATTATAAAAATATTTCATGTCCTTGCCTACTAATTCTCTCATTTGTGTCATTTATGTGTTGTTTTTGATCTGCTGATTTTTCTCCTCATAATGGGTCATATTTTCTTGCTGCTTCTGCATGCCTGGTAATGTTCTATTCAATGCTAGGCATTGTGAATTTTACCTTTTCAGGTGCTGGATATTCCTGTACTTTATAAATTCTTGAGCTTTGTTCTGGCATATAACTAAATTATTGAAAAACAATTTGGTCCTTTTGAGGCATTCCTTTAAGCTTTATAAGGGCAGGCCAAAGCATTCTTGTCTAGGGCTGAAATTTTTCCCCACTATGGAGATAATACCATTCATAGTACTCTGACCAATGCCCTATGAATTACAAGGTTTTCCACTCTGGCTGATGAAAACAGGAACCACTCTCAGACTGTGTAAACTCCAAGAATTGTTTCCTCTGCTCCTTCAGGTGCTTCCTTTTCACACGTGTGCTGATCAGCATGCAGAGAAAGACTTGGGGGGCAGGGGGTGCTCTGAAAATGTCCAGAGCTCACAGTCCCTCCCCATGCAGCTCTCTGCTATTATTCTTCCCTGCAAACTCTGGCCACTTTGGCCTCCCCAAACTTCCACCTCTATTTCCTCAACTCAAGTAGACCACTAGGTTTTCTTGGGCTCTCCCCCCCTGCACTGCAAATTAGAAAGTTTTCAGGCAGCAAAGCTGCAGCAATTTGGAGCCAGCCTCGTTGGTTTTCCATCCATCAGGAATCATTGTCCTGCCCTGCTTTCTGCCTAATATCTGTTATTCATGGTTTTGTATATTTTTTCCAGTTTTCCAGTTATGTAAGGCAGGAGGGTGAATCTTGTCCTTGTGACTCCATTTGGATGGAAGCACCAGTGTCATCTTCATCATTTTTAGGACTTTGGGTTTTTCTCTGAGTGCAGTGGGAAACCATGGGAGGATTCTGAGTGACTTTATCTGACACACATTTCATAGTTCAATATTAAGAGGGCTTGGCATGCCCTCCTCCCAGGATTCAGTCAGTCTATTAAACAGAAGGGTGGGTGCATGGAAAAATGTTGCCAAGCCTGATCCAGACCAAGGTGGCTCTCGGCATCTACTGCTCCTGCATCCATGAACGCACACAAGGGCACCCAGATGCATACACCCAGGAACCCCTTTTCTGTTTCAGAATCTCCTCCCACATCTCTGAATCCACGAAGAACCAGTCTTACATAAATGTGCCTCAGGATTCTGTCCCCAGGGACAGATGGATGCACCCCACCACCATCCTGCTCTGCAAGTCACAGAGCAACCAGGCTGCCCTGGTGCCCAAGGAACACAAGACATTCATGGAGGAAGCCTACAACGCAGGTGACCACTGGCCCCGGGACTCAGGCAGGGCAGTCAGGTTCCAGCAGACCCCCTCAGTCCCTCCACCCAAAGAAGTCCTGGTGACGAGGGCCAGAGGAAGTCCACTCTCTGGGACCTTGGGGTGTCAAGAAGTGTGGACATAGGCAGCTTTCAGCAGAGACTCCTGCCCATCCTCCTTGGCCTTTTCAAGTCTCCTGAGGCACCATCCAAAATGCCTTCCCTCACCCATCACCCTCCACTCTCCTCCAGCACCTTTCACACCTTAGAACCTCAGCTTACCCCTGGCCCTCTCACTGGAATGCTTTTCCCCTCATTCAAAGGATGACTTGCCCTCATCCTTCTAGGCCAAGTTAAAGTGCCACCTCCTCTGAGAAGACAGTCCCTACTCTCCACCTTAGTCAGGATTTATCACCCCTCCCCTCCCTGTGTGCCCAGGGCCTTTTATACAACTCCCCCAGAGAACTGAAGTCCACCAATACTGGGTAGGGCTCCCTTGGGCTGGAGGCTCCTTCAGAGCAGAGCTGGGCCTTGACTCCCCTTTAAGCCGCACACACAGCCCTATGACCACACAGTGAATGAACATCATTGAATGTTGGGTGACTGGATGGAGGATGAAAGGATGAAGGAATGAATAGATGGAGGGACAGAGGGATGGGTGGATGGATGGATAAATGGATGGATGGGTAGATGAATTTTTAAATGGATGAAGAGTGGGTAGATGGATGAATAGATGAATTTATGAGTGGATGGGTAGATAGATGGATACGTTTATTAATGGATGGATTGATGGATAGGTGGGTGATAGATGAATGGGTAAATGGATGCATGAAAAGGAGGATGAATCAGTGAATGGATGGAAATACGCATGGGTGAACAAGGATGCATTCCCTGCTTGCTTTCTTGCTTCTCATCCTACCTTGAACCCCGGAAGGACTGACAGAACAGTCAGGAGGCCCAGGATTTCCCAGTGTGTTCAGTTCCCAGTCCTCCCTTTCAGATCACTGTTTCCCATTCCCAGCCCTACCCTTTTGCTGCCCACCCAGCCCTGTTAGCACAATGTGACATTCCTACAGCACACCGATCCTCACACTTTCTTGCCATCTGCTTTAACCATCTGCTTCAAGACGCTCCAGGACCTGAATAGTTCAGACCCCCTCCACCTGAAGTACGTCATCGAGAAAATCAAGAACGTGGCTCACGGGGACCCCAACCTGGTGCTGGAAACCATCATGACTACTTTGTAGACAACCTGGAGGTGGGAGCTGCTCGGGCCACTCAGGGCAGTCGTGGGGAGCAGAGGGAAGGGCTGGACCCCAGAGGGGGATCAAACCTTGGTTCCTCCAGACAGCAGCGCCATGATTTGGGGCAAGTCAATCTCATGTGTCCAATGAGCCAAGGGGGAAGGGAGGAAAGTGGACGGATACGTGTGCACCATCCTCTGAACAGTCTCTCGATAAGATTATTATGATCCCCAGAGATGAGGAAACTGAAGCTTAGGGAAGGGAAATGATTTGCCTAAAGTCACAGGGGATGGATGGCTGGGTAGATGATTGGGGGAAAGCTCTGTCTGGCTTTTTAATGAATGAGTGAATAAAAGAATGAATGGAGGGGCTTCCCTGGTGGCTCAGTGGTTAAGAATCCGCCTGCCAGTGCAGGAGACACGGGTTCAAGCCCTGGTCCGGGAAGATCCCACATGCCGCGGAGCAACTAAGCCCGTGAGCGCTATGGTCGCTGAGCCTGCACATCCAGAGCCTGTGCTCCGCAATGGGAGAGGCCACAACAGTGAGAGGCCCGCGTACCGCAAAAAAAAAAGAATCCACCTGCCAGTGCAGGGGACACGCGTTTGAGCCCTGGTCTGGGAAGATATTGCTGCGGAGCAACTAAGCCCTTGCACCACAAGTACTGAACCTGTGCTCTAGAGCCCGCGAGCCACAACTACTGAGCCCACGTGGCACAACTACTGAAGCCCGCGTGCCCTAGAGCCCGTGCTCCACAACAAGGGAAGTCACCGCAATGAGAAGCCCTCGCACCACAACGAAGAGTAGCCCCCGCTCACCTCAACTAGAGAAAGCCCGCACACAGCAACAAACACCCAACACAGACAAAAATAAATAAATAAAACAAATAAATAAATTTTTAAAAATTTATAAATGATATAACAATTTCATAGGATGATCAAACAGCATCACAGGGACCAGCATCACATGGGGAGAGACCAGAGACCCCCTCACTTTCAGATGCCACGAAATGCAGGGCTAGGGTTTGCATAGACAGGGCAAGTGGGAACCGTAAGGCAGGCAGGAGGTACAGCATGAGCAAAGGCTCAGAAGCAAGAAGAATGACAATAGGTCTTGGACCAGTCAGAGGATCGGGGATGCTGACAGGCACGTGCAGCTCTGAGCCTGAGATTGGACCTGATCTTCACCTGCCAGCTATGCATGTCGGCCTTCCTCGGTCTCAGTTTTCTATCGAAAAACTGGGTGGACGGTAGCCGTCCTGCCCACCAAACCAGACCACTCTTCCTTCCTGCCCGCACCCGGGAGCTGGAGGAGGGCTACCGGGACGCGGCCAGCAACGTGCTGGTGGCCACCTGCAGGCACTGCTGGTGGCTGGTGGCCCGGCACCTGGAGACCGAGGTCCTGTCGGGCGTCTTCCCTCACAGCAGCCTCCTCTACGTGATGGGCGTCCTGACCTCTAACGGTATGTCCCGTGCTCAGGGCCTGGGCTTGGCCACCCTCTGTCCCCAGGCCAGCAGGTGGAGGGGGAGGTCATGAGGAGAGAGCAGGAGGGGGCATGCAGGGCTGCTGATCCGCGGGACACACGCAGGCTGTGCAACAGTGAAGCATCCCCGTGCCAGAGGGCCATGGGCTATGGTCCGAGCACTCCCGCAGCCCACCTCCCCTCGGCCAGCCTGGGCCACTTCGGGACTCCCAGGGTAGGGCACCAGCGGCTAGCCGAGCTGCCCATCCCCACTAGCCTGTGTTCCTGCTGTCAGCGTTTCGACAACAGGCCTGGACAGACTTGGGACGGAGCGAGGAAGCCCAGGAGGCAGGCCTGCCCTGCCACGTGGTCCTCTCCCCGGATCCCTGGCAGACGGGGAGGTCAAGCTCACAGAGGCTGTGCGACGGGCCTGGGACACCCAGCCGCACGTCCTGGGCCTGTGGGGTCCAGGTCTCTGTGTTTCCTCAGCAGCCACTGCCTCTGAGCCACTGGAAGGACGGCCTGGATAGCAGGGTCTCTGAGAACCCCAGAGAGGACTTACAGGGAAGGGTTTTGCCAGCCTGAGGCTCAGCTAATGCAAGACAGCAAACACTGAGCGCCTGTCATGTGCCCGGCTCTGCCCTCAGGAGCTCACAGCCTCCCAGGCAGGCACGCGCCAACTCTCATCCCTCACTCATTCATCCATTCACAAGCATGAGCTGAGCTCACTTCTGCCCAGCGGGGGAGGTACCGGGCGGCCCTGGTGGCCATAAGGGAGGGCTTCCCAGAGCAGGCAGCCAAGTCTGAGCCATGCCTTGAGGGATGAGTAGGAGTTTGAGGAGGGAATGGTGTGAGTACACCTCAGGGCCTTAGGGAGGAGCTGGTCAGCAGCCTCGGCGAGGGGTTGAGGTCAGGGGGAGGAAAGGGGGGTGGCAGGCCCTGCTCTCTACAAGGAAGCCGGCGGGGAGGCCTCAGAGGCCGTGCTTGGGAGAGTGGACTCTTGGCTCAGCTTTGCACCCTGTGCCTGGGGCTGGCAGGCTGGGTGGAGGTCCCTCTTTGCCTTGGGTGACCTCTGAAACTCCCAGGGCCATCCCTGAAGCAGCCGCTCCCCCTGAGGTTGGGTTTCCAAAGTTCCGTAAAAGCTTTGCAGCCTCCCAATGTGCCCCTCTCTGAGCCTCGTTTTCCCACCCTTGAGGGGACCCAAGTACATCCCAAGCAACCATGCCCAGAGGGAACCCTCCATTTACCATTGGTGAGCCTGAGGTCCAGAGAGGGAACGTGACCTACCTGAGGTCACACAGCAAGTGTGGCAGGGCCACAACTCCAGACCAGCTTTCTGGACCCTGAGCCCAAGTCCGGCTCGCCATCCTCCGAGCTCGCCTCCCCGATGGAGCCAGAATGGGCAGAGGCAGGACATCAGTCGTGTCCAAGCAATGGGGGAGATGGAGCCCAAGACCCGGTCCTGGCCATGGACATCAGGTCTGGCCTCCAGGGACCCGTCCTCCGTCCCACAGAGGAGATCTTCAAGGAGACAGAGAAGGCTTGCTGGGAAGAGCAGCTGGCCCAGGTAGGGAGGGAGCTCTGCCACAAGGCCTTCTGCGGGGATGATGGGGGATGGGAGGCACCCGCTCAGCCCTGGGAGGAGGGAGGAGATCAGGGAGGGAGGGGGAGGGAGGGGACAGAGGGGGAGGCAGGGCGAGGCTGTTACAGATGAGCAACAGGCTTGGAGGGGAGGGGACTTGACGACAGTCATGGGACTGGTCTCTGTGGAGTTGGGATTTGAACCTTGGTCTCTAGGCACCTGGCACAGAGTAAGTGTCCTTCCCACCCACCCTGGGGGCTGGATCTGTGACTGAGGGGCCCAGAGAGGATGCAGAGGCCAGATCTGAGACCAAGGGAGGAAAGAAGAGGTCGGCGTGGACTGAAGTTGCCACAGCCGAGGATGGGTGTCATGCTGGTCCATCTCCGACCACACACCACGTGAAGGTTTTGTGTGGCCGGGAAAAGGGACATGGGGCCCTGGCAGACCTGGGTTTAAGTCCAGATTCAACCAATCACAGCTGCGTGTCGGGTGACCTACTTTGCCTCTCCGTACCTTAGTTTCCTCGTCTGTCAAATGGGGGTAAAAGTACCAACCTCAAACGTTCATTGTGAGATGACAGGAAATAATCCACGTAGTGTTTGGCGCTGTGCCTGACAGACAGGAAGCCCTCACTCCCTACATTAGTTATTATTATCATATAGTAGCAGCAGAATAGTAGTAATTAAATGGCATTTAGTGGAAATAACACCAGCAGCAGCAGCAATACAAGTAATTAATAGAAAAATGAGACAGAAAATCACAAGGACACAGAAGACTTGAACAACGTAATTAACCAAATTGATCTAATTGACGTTCCTTTCAAATGTAAATAGAACATTCACCAAGATAGATCATTTGCTGGGCCATATATCAAGTTTCAATAAATTTAAAAGGACTGAAATCAAACAGAGTACATTCTCTGCCCAGAACATCAATTACAGAATGATAGCAAAAATACATCTGGAAAAATTCCAAATATTTGGAAGTTAGACAACACTCTTAAATACTCCATAGGTCAAAGAAGAAATCACAAAGGAAATTAGAAAATACTTTGAACTGAATGATAAGTAAAACACAATATGAAATTTTGACAATCTGTGGGGTTCAACAAAAAACAATGCTTAGAAGAAATTTATATTTTTAATGCCTATATTAGAAAAGAAAAAAGTGTATAAAATCTATTTCCTAAACCTCCATTTTAAGAAACTATCCCCAAAAGTGCAAATTAAGCCCAAAGTAAGTAGAGGGAAGAAAACAATAAAAAGTAGAGTAAAAATCAAAGAAATTTTTTAAACGGACAAGCAGTAGAGAGTGAATAAAACCAAAAGCAGGTTATTCAAAAAGATTGATACAATGATAAGCTCCTTGATAGGCTGATCAAGAAAATAAAAAATATTCAGTAACAGCAAAGAAAGAATAACACTGCACATCCTTTAATATGGGATGGTAATAAAATATGATTCCAATAAATTAGGCAATTTCGGTTGGATAGACTAACTCCTTAGAAAACACAAACTACCAAACTGACGCAAGAAGAAACAGAAAGTCTGAGAAGTCCTGTATTAAAGAAACTGGAATCATATTTTATAAAACTTCTCACAAAGAAAACTCCAGGCCCAGATACTTTTCTGGTTAATTTTCTATCACAAGTTAAGGCAGAAGTAATACCAATTCTATCCAAATTCTCTCAGGAAATAGAGGAAGAAGAAACACTTCCAAAATGTTTTCATAAGGCCAGCACAACTCTGACACCAAAGCCAGACAAAGACATTACAACAAAACTACAGACCAATATCCTTCATGAAGATGGACTCAAAAGTCTTTAACAAAATATTAGCAAAATAAATCCAGCAATATACAAAAATTCCACACATGTTCAGCAACATGAAATTTCTCAGATCCCAGTCCTTTGGGGCTTTTAACGGAGGCTTCGTTAATAGGCACGATTAATGAAATCACTGGCCACTGGTGATTAAAGTCAATCTCTAGCCCCTCTCCCCTCTCTGAAAGTTGAGGAGTGAATGAAAGATCCAACCCTCTAACCATGATTGGTTCCCCTGGCAACTTGCCCCCATCCTGTGGTTACCTAAGGGCTTTCCAAAAGTGGAACCGGGCTTGTTATGAACAACAAAAGACACCTTTACTGCTCTAATAACTTAGGAAAGGGTTTTAGAAGTTCTGTGCCAGATGAAAATAGAGATGAAGACCAAATATATATTTTTATTATAAATCACAATATCACAAAGAGAAAGGCTCTCAACAAAGTAGGAATAGGAGGAAACTGACATCTATGAAAACCCTACAACTAACATACCTAGTGACAAATAAATGGACACCTTCCTGCTAAGATCAGAATAAGGCAAAGATGTCCACCCTCTCCACTTCTGGTCAACGTTGCACTGAAGTCCTAACCAATGCCGTAAGGTAAGAGGAACGGGAACACAGACACAGATTGCAATGGAAAATGTAAAACCATCTTTCTTTGCAGACAACATAATTGTATACACAGAAAATCTCACAAAAGTTTTTTTTTTAATGCTAGAACTATTAATTACTAATAATTGAATTTAGCTAGATCTCAGGATACAAAATCAATATGCAAATGTCAATTGAATTTCTATATAATAACAACAGACAATTGGAAAGTAAGGTTTAAAAACACAATGACACAGCCACATGAAAAACATAAAAGACTCAGATAAATTTAACAAAATATGTGCAAGATCTTTACAAACATTGCAGAAAGAAATTAAAGAAAACCTAAATAAATGGAGCTATATGATCATGGATAACAGGAGTCAATAATGTTAAGATGTCAATTCTCCCAAAATTGATTTATAGATTCAATGCAATGCCAATCAAAATCCCAACTAACTTTATTATAGAATTAAACATAATCTATAAGTTAAAAATTTATATGGAAATTTCAAAGGACCTAGAATAGCCAAAACAATCTTGAAAAAGAACAAAGAAGAATTACACTACCTGATTTCCTATATAGCTATAGTCCACAAGACAGTGAGAACTGACAGAGATTAAACAAATAAATCAATGGAACGGAATAGAAACTCCAATATAAAACCACACTTATATGGTCGATTAATTCCTTTTACAATGGTACCAAAGCAATTCAATGGGGAGTCTTTTGAACAAATGGTTTTACAACAATTGCGTATCTAGGGGGAAAAAGGAACTTTAATGCCTGTCTCTAACCATTCACAAATATTAATTTTGAGATGGACCCAAGGCCTAAATATAAAAAAACGAAAACACTTCTAGAAGAAAACACAGGAGACAATCTCGCCAACCTTGGGGTAGGTAAATATTTCTTAGGACCCAGAAAGCACTTATCATAAAAAGAAAAAAAAATAGATTAATTAGATTTCATCTAAATTAAAGCTTCTGCTCATCAAACAATACTATGAGGAAAGTGAAAAAAGGGAAACCACAGACATGGAGAAAATATTCACAAGACATATATCTGACAAGGGACTGTATTCAGAATAAATGAAGAACTCTTACAAAATCAGGGAGAAAAAGACAAACAGACCAATTGCAAAAGTGAATAAAAGATTTAAATAGATATGTCACAAAGGAAGGCATATGAATGACCAAAAGCCAAAGAAACAACAGTCAACATCTTGAATCCTCAGTGAAATGTCAATTAAAACCCAGGAGCTGCCACTACCCACCCAGGACAGAGCTCAAAGGAAAGAGAAAGACTCGACCAAATGCTGGCGGGGAAACTCACACTGCTGGTGGGATGGTGAAACCTCCTTGGAAAATCGTCATTGTCTTATACAGTTATGACTCACCAGTTCCACTTTTAGGTATTAACCCCAGAGGCATGAAACATTCATACGCAAAATTACACATACAGGCATGTTCCCGGCAGCCTTACTCATAAGAGCCTCAAACTGGAAACAACCTGTACTAGGCAGACTCATTCCCTCCCAAAGATCCACCTGAGGAAACTAGAGAAAGAAGAGCGAGTTAAACTGAAACCAAGAGCGAGTTAAACTGAATTGGGAGATTGGGATTGACATATATACACATATGTATAAAATAGCTAACTAATAAGGACCTGCTATATAAAAAATAAATTAATTAATTTTTTTTAAAAAAACTGAAACCAAGCAGCAGAAATGAAATAATAAAATTCAGAGCAGAAATAGAGAAGTGAACTTGAGAATGCATGCAAAAATGCGGACGAGGACTTCCCTGGTGGCACAGTGGTTAAGAATACGCCTGCTGCTCTGTGCCCAGAACTCGGAGGACATGAGGTGGAGGTGGGCGAGCATCACCTTCCTCCTGGCCTGTGGCCAGAGGGCGGACAAGGACAAGGCCCGCATCCTCCCATGGGTGGACAACGTCTTCTCACGGACGATTTTCTTCTTCCACTACAACTCCTGCGTGTGACCCCGCCAGAACCGGGGTCTGAGAATTCCAGACCTTCCAGGGCCTTGAAGCCCACCTCCCCACTCCCCCCCCACCCTGGGCTCCTACTCCATCGTTCCCACCTAAGGCTTCATGGGCTTTCGTGAGGACCCCCTCCCTCCACCGCCCCCCTTAAAGAAAACCCTGGGCTCTCACTCGGGGGAATTGGAAGTCCGGGTGACTGCCCATCACAGCCTGTGATGACGGTCCCCTGACTCTACACCCTGCACCAGGGGCTTCCACCCTGGTAACTCTGAGGGGCTATGCAGCCCTGTGAGACCACCGCACACTTGAGGCCTTTGGGCCTGGCGTGGCCACACATCACGAGAAGCTGAACACTGAGCTTCTTACAGGCACCTCCTGATGCTTAAGCATCATCCACGTGTTCGCACTGTTAAACAAAAGCACCGGCTCCCGCGTCAAAAAAACACCCAGCTACGTGACCCCTGAGCCGGAGGCCCTGCTGCCACATGTGACTACGGCTCTCCTGCCCCTCAGGTGTTCCCACGCCCCGACCCCGCCCCCTTGCCCCACCACCTGCCCCCTTGCCAGGACGAAACCCTGAAGCAGAGCTTCCTCACGGCCATCCTCATGCTGGTGGGGGCTGTCAGCTGCAACGAGGGCGCCCAAAGCTACGAGCTCTCCCAGGTCTCTGAGCTCTTCGAGTGTCTGATGGTGAGTGCAAGGTCCTGGGGCAGAGGAAGGGCTTCCCAGGACAGAGGGGGCACCTCCCTCAGAGCAGCAACATTCATGAGAGGCACCCACTGGAAAAGGTTGGGCCGATTGGATTTCTAGAGCGTGTACAAGCCCCTCACAGGCTTTCACACCTGGAAGCACATCCATGGCCCCCACATGACTTCGTTCCTACGGGGACCCTGAGCTGGCCAGTTACGTGCCCTGTGTAGCTGATGTGGCTGAGACCCAGAAAGCTCAGCACCATCCATCCTGCTAATGCTGACCTAGCTCACACCACTAGTTACTAGAGGTTTTGGCCTCACAGAATCCCTGGGGTAGTGGAGGAAACACACAAGTGATGGACGATTATATAGTGATAATAAAAATAATAACAGTTCTCATTTACTGAGCCCCTGCTGTGACTCAGACACTCTGCTTCTCATTCCTTGCTTCATGTGTAACACAAGGGCAACAACGTCATGTTTTCTGTGAATAAAAGAAGCTCAGAGCAGTTTGGAGACTTGCCCAAGGTCATGCAACTCGTATGGGGGTAGCCAGGATTCACACAAGACTTGTCTATTCTAAAGTCTATGCTCTAGTTGTCTAAGTGGGGGCCAGGCCACAGAGACCCTCTTGGGTAGGTGAGGATCTAGAGCATAATCCTGTGGGTTACAGGGGTGCTGGGCACCAAGGTCTTTAGGCAGGGTTGAGACTTGGTGGCGGAAGTGAGATAGGCCCAGGTGTGAGTGACTCAGCCTTCACCTGGGATTTCCAGCTTCTGATGGAGAAGGAGCCCCAGGACATGCTGTGCACATCGACTCACCAACAGGCCATCCACATCATCTCCAGCTTCTGGTAGGCTCCCCAACCCCACACAGGACCTTGCTCAGCATCAAACAGCAACCTCACAGCTCAGGCTTGGTACCAGCAGGACAGTGATGGGGGAGACATCAGACAGCAACACCCTACTGGGCAGGGCTAGGGACCTGAGCCAGTGCAGGCCACAGTAGGTAGGGGGTGGGCAGCTTATGGAGGCCAGAGCCACTGGGGCACAGCCACTCTCCAGAGTGAGCTGACCCACCCAGACACTCAAGTTCAGAGCAGTTATTCATGGTAACACCCCAGATTCTATGGGCACTTGAAAAGGTGTTTTTTTCTATTATCAGGTGTAGGACTTGCTATATACCTGTAAGGTTTACTTTACTGATTGTGTTGTTTAGGTCTTCTACCTCCTCACTTAATTTGTGTCCATTTGATCCGTCTTGTACTGAGAATGGTGTGTTAATGTCTCCTATTATTAATGTGTTTCTATCTATGTATCCTTCCATCTCCTGTAGTTTTTACTTCATAAGGTTTTTACTTCATAAGGTTCATGATGTTATATGGTGCACATATTCATAAGTGTTATATCTTCTTTACGAATTGTGACTTTGAGCATTAAAAAGTGCCCTGCCTTGTCACATTTAATGCTTTGAGGGCTTGAATTTTCTTATCAGGACCACTACCTCTTCTCTCCTATTTTTTCCCATTTGCCCAGTATGGATTTGCCCATGCTTTTATTTTAACATTTCAGAATCCATTTGCTTTAGGTATCATCCTATATATAGCATATAGTTTGGTCTTGATCTGTAATCCAAATTGAAAATCTTTTTATTTTAATAGGTGAGTTAAGTCCATTCACATTTATTGATATGACTGATATGCTGAATCTCAACTCTGTCATAATATTTTGTAATTGCATGTGTTTTATTTGCTGGTTTTTTTTTTTCTATGAGATGTGTATTCTTTGAGCTTTAGTTGTTTTTTTAATTTAGGAAGGGTTGTATTTTTGTTCTAGTTGCTACGTTTGTACTCCTAACCGATTTTAATGCCCTTAGTCCCCTGTTTTCTTATTTAACCTTTTAACATCTGGTTTACCCATTTTTATTGATATCCTTAAACTCCCATCCATTGCCCATATAACAACCAGTGAGATTATTCGTCCCTTCTCCTTCTATGTTTTCATTTGCACACTTCAAAATTTGCAGTGTAGTCATCCACCTTCCTCCTTACATTTGTTTTGAGAGAGTACACACACTCACCCTAAGTCCCTTTGCCAAAGATTTCTAGTCACCTCTTAGCTTGACAAAGCTCATCCTCTGACAGATTCCTCAAGAAGGTTCATGGATTCAGAACACCCTAGGTTCTTTTATGAAGGACAGCTATCCTACTTCCCAGACCAGGGATTAAACCCGTGTCCCCTGCATTGGGAGCACAGAGTGTTAACCACTGGACTGCCAGGGAAGCCTGTAAGTACTTTTTTAATGCTGCTCAATTGTTGCCTTGCTTTGTTTTTGAAAAGTCTGATGAAAAAAAATTTTTTTTTTTGCCTTTGTAAGTTATTTGATCTTCTTGTCTGGAGACCTTGGAACTTTTTTCTATATCTTTGAAATATAACAATTTTACTAAGAAATGTCTCAGAATTGATCATTCTGTGTTAATTTTCCCAGGTACCCGGTGAGTCTTTTGAATATGTAGATTTAAGTCTTTTGTTGTTATTGTTTCTGGAAAGTTCTCTAGGTTGTAATTTTTTTCTTCCAGTTTTATTGAGACATAATTGGACATACAGCACTGGATAAGTCTAAGGTGTACAGCATAATGATTTGACTTACATAGATCATGAAATGATGACCACAGTAAGTTTAGTGAGCATTCACCATGGCATATAGATAAAAATAAAAGAAAAAGAAATTTTTTTCCTTGTGATGAGAACTCAGGATTCACTCTCTTAACAAGTTTCATATATAACATGCAGCAGTGTTCATTCTATTAATCATGGTGTACATTACATCCCTAGTACTTCTTTATCTTATGACTGAAAGTTTATACCTTTTGACCACCTCCATCTAATTCCCCCTCCCCCAACCCCTACCTCTGGTAGCCACAAATCTGGTCTCTCTTTCTATGAGTTTGTTTGTTTGTTTGTTTTGAAGTATAATTGACCTGCAACACTGTGTTAGTTCCTGGTGCACAAAATAGTGATTCTATATTTCTATACATTTCAAAATGATCACCATGATAAGTCTAGTTACCATCTGTCACCACACAAAAATATTACATTATTATTGACTGTATTCCCAACACTGTATGTTTCATCCCTGTGATTTATTTATTTTGTAACTGGACGTTTGTACCTCTTTATCTCCCTCACCTATTTCTCTCTTGGTTATAGTTTTAAATAGTAGTTCTGTTCCATTGTTGTTTTTCTGCTTCAGAGACTCCAGTAATTCAAATGCTAGTCTTTCCTTGCCTGTCTTCCATTTCTCCTACTTTCTCTGTGACCCTTTTTACTTCTCTTAAATTCATCTTTATTCTCTTGGTGGTCTTTCTACTCTTCCTCAATGCCCCTTTCTAATTTTCATTTGAGTCTTCTCTCTCTTGAGCACCTTGAATTCTTTTTTTCACTTCTGAATTCAATCAACTCTCTTTTCCTTTCTTATTAGAGGCTTTTTTTTTTTTTGGTCCTTTTTGAATTTATAATTCAAGGTGGTTTTTCATATCTTTAAAGGCTTGCTTGAGTATATTGGCCTGCATGTGGGGTGTTGTCTTACACTTTTATCTGAATCATGGTTGTTTTCCAGAGGAGGAATTTTCTCATTGGATGTGTGCTTTTTTTTTTTTTTTTCTGCTGTACGCAGCCCTCTCACTGTTGTGGCCTCTCCCTTTGGGGAGCACAGGCTCCAGACGCGCAGGCTCAGCGGCCATGGCTCATGGGCCCAGCTGCTCCACGGCATGTGGGGTCTTCCCGGACTGGGGCACGAACCCGTGTCCACTGCATCGGCAGGCGGACTCTCAACCACTGAGCCACCAGGGAAGCCCTGGATGTGTGCTTTTGTTTTCCAGGAGTTTTTGCAGTAACTCTATGGGTCTAATAATTTTTCTCCTGTTTATATACAACACTATTAGACTGTTCTGTAGAATTTCAAGTTCAATGGCACCCTCTTCTGTCAGTATACCAAAGTCCAGGTAACTTAGCAGATTTTTAGTTTTGGTGGTAGGTGAAAGGATTATGTATCCTCCAGTATGGGGTGTCCTTTTTCTCTTGTAGGACCTTAAATTTTTCCTTTTTGTGCCATTACCTTTCACCAACCAATTTCAAAGGGTACTTCTTTCTTTTTTGCCCCTTTTTTCTCCCCAAAGCTGTGTGTGTTGAATGCCGCCCTTCAAATGAACATTCTTTTCAGTCCCTTTCTTGTGGTCAGTGCTCTGGTTTAGTTGGTGTCTTTCTTCTTTATTGTTTCATATTTTCAGACTTAAGATGGACTTTGTCTTCCTGAAGGTGATTTAGATCAATTCTGAGCCCTGTTGCCAGGTCCTGTCTCCTCTCCTCTCCATAGTTTCTCTCATCCTCCTTTTATCTGCCACAGAGCCTCATGGTGGAACAGGGGTGGGGTGGGAGTGTGAGAGACTGCAGGCCGGGGCTGGCATAGCTCTCTTCCGCTTATACTGTTGAAGTCTGGGTGTTCTCTGAGGTCACATTGTGTGGTTTTACTTTTCTCTTCTTCCTGCTGTGTTGTTTTTCAAGGAAATTTTGAGGGGGGGGCGGGGACCCAGGCAGCCACAGTTGTCCTCAGCTGCCCAGGTCTATAGTTCAGTTTTATCTGTATTGGAATTTATACCTTATTTCCTCAGTTCTAAGAAGCACATTTTTCACACATCAACATCTATGAAGTAGGAGCACATTTTACATTGATGGTGCCTTACACCTGGAATGATGTAGGGTTCTCAGTCCCCTGGGGGCACTCTCATCCCGAGACCGCTTCAAATTTAAAAGTCTCTGCTGGAGGGTGTTTGGTGGGGGGCACAATGGTGGTGCGATTCAGACCCCAAAGTAGGTTTTGTGGTTTGGATTCTCAGGAGCGCCATCCTCCTTCCCCACAGTGTGCTCAGTGAGCACCGGTTTTCTTGCTGTTTTTCTGCAAGGCAGGGGTTTTATTTCCTTTTGTTTTGCTTTATCACATTTACACTGTACACACAGCCCTCGGGGTCCAACCATTTTGGTGGGGCCCCTATTAGACTCCCATCTTGGATACCTTTTCTTTCTTAGTAGTGCGTGAAATAATGGTGGCGTGTCCTAAAATATAAACAGAATTGTGTGATATGAGCCCTCCCAGTATTCTTTCGTTATCTGGCTTTTTCCCTCAACATCTTGTGCTTAACCCTCCTCCCGATATGTTCCATGTAGCTGGAGTTCATTCATTTTGGTCGCTGTGTAGGATCCCATCCTATGAACACCAGTTACCCTTCTTACTCTGGATGGACATTTGGGTTTAGGTCTGTGGTTAACGCTGCTGTGAATTTGGTCACACATGTGCTCTGAGGCACATCTGCATTCAATTCCCATAGTGTAGGCGTGGCACCAACACTAACACATGATGCAAAATGTGTCTAACGCACTTAAACCACCTCTCATTCCCACAGTATGTTTTAAAGAGTTCCTGTTGCTCTACATCTTCACGAACACTTAACATCAACTTTCTAGTCAACCATCAAAATTTTAGCCAATCTTGTGGGTAGCATTAATCATATTTCCACGTTAATTTTCACTTTGCTGATTAAATAAGGAGGTTGTACATCTTTTCATGCCCTTTTTGGCCATTGGAACGGCGTCTCTGGTGATGCCTATTCAAGTATCCTGCACATTTTTCTGTTGGGTCGTCCCTCTTTTTCTTATCGATTTCTAGGAATTCTTTATGTACAGTCATCTGGATACAAGGTCTCAGCTGATTCTATGTTAAATACCTTCTCCCACTTTGCAGCTTTCCTTTCGCTCCCTTACTAGGTCCTTTGATGAAAAGGAGTTCCAAGTTCCATCA